GAGCAGTGGCCAAATTGGATTGCATATCACCTAAGAAGGCTTGGTTATAGCATTGAGGGCAATGCAAAACAACGTGCCCGGGCTGCCTACAAAGTTGACAGAATATACGACGTGGGAAGTAACCATCAAAATTTCCCTTTCCATTCTTGTTAGTGGTGCCACGCCCTTGACCCCTATTCATATTTGGAGATCCAAAATGATTATAATTTGGCTAATAGTAAGAATTACCTTGTGGTGGTTTACCTTTGTTCTTAGCAGTGTTTTAAAAGGCATGGGAGGCATACACTTGGAGGCTCACCTCCAGGTGAGGCGCTCCCAAAACGCCCTGAGGCATATGCCAGAGGCGCTAACACCTTTGAGGCGCCTCATACGCTTTGTTCATGAGCATTGAGGCATGCTAAAGGTGTACGCCTCATGCACATCTTATACAAAAAGACAAAAAATAAAAATAAAAAGAAAGGAAAGAAAGGAAAATAAAAGAAAAGGGAAGGGAAGGGAAGGGAATAAAAAATAAGGAGAAAAAAAGTGGTTTGCCCCCTAACCCTTTGACAAGACCAACCCCCCCCCCCTTTCAACTAATGTTATGCATCTTTAGTCTTCTTAATATAAAAGATTTTTATTAAAAATAATGAAAAAATGAGATCCCCCCTTCCTCTTCATCCTCCTCCCCTTCCTCCTAACCCCCCTCCTCTTAATGATGCGTAAGCCTCCTTGTGTTCGGGAGGCTTACGCCTCTTGCGTTCTGAACTCCGCCTAGAGTTATTAGTTCCACTCCCTTGTTGAGTTTTAGTTGCAGCATTCATAGATACAGTAAGAAGATCAGTTGGAGTTCGCATGTCATTTTGTCGAATCTCCTGACTTATGAGCATACCACAAAAATCATCAAATGTAAGTATGTCAGTACGGGTTGAAACTGAAGTTGCAAAGTCATCATACTCTAAGCCAATCCCTCCTAGAGTGGAGAGAATAAGATTTTCATCACTAAGTGGCTTGTCAATTGCAGTCAGATTATCTGCAGTTGTATAAATAGCTTGAATATATTCAGTACAACTAGAGGTTCCTCTTTTGAGATTGGCTGGTTGGAAACGAAGTTGTTGAACCTGTACTCTGGAGGATGAAGAATTAGTGCATGTAAGTTTCTGCCATGATTCATAAGATGTGTTGCAACTCACCACACGAGCCATGGTGGATTCTATAAGAGTTGCAATGATCCAACTAAGAACCATTTGATCATTTTGTTGCCACACAATATATTTTGGGTCGATACTCGAAGTGATGTTGGATGCACTATCACTATCACTTGAGTCACCAATAAACGTGATATGACCCAGAAATTTGACACGCAGTTCACAGACTTACAGCAGCGTTCACACACTCGAACATCAACAAAGAAACTAGTATTCATTCAGCAAAAAACATTAACAGTYGGTCGGTTCTTCGAGAGACCGCCGGCTCTCCCAAACACTCACAATATTCTTCACTCAAAGAAAAAACATCTCACCCCCATCCCCCAAAGCCCCTTCTTATACTCTTCTGATAGCATAACTGACTCCCTCTATAAATGCCCAGCTGGCCTAGTTATAAATGCCCAAAAACTCTTCTTATTCATAACTGACATAGCTATAAATGCCCCAAGACTCTTCCTATTCCCTTCTGACATCCTCCATAAATGCCCCATGTCTAATCATCTCCCCCTTATGCTGCCTTTTCTTTCTCCTAGCATACGTAAGGTTAACTGGGGGCCTATCATTACCCGCCACCCAAAGTCTAACCTTGTCCTCAAGGTTAAAATGAGGAAATTGGTCTCGAAGTAAGTCAAAAGGCTCCCAAGAATCTTCAAAATCAGGCAAATCCTGCCAATGAATAAGCACTTCCAACCAGTAACTCCAGGCATAGTGGATGGACGCACACCGCGCACGAAATTCCTTCTTTCTTTGAAAGCTAGACCTTTTCAATCTCTTGATTGCTACCCTTGTTCCATCAGGAAAAAACCCACTATATGTGCCACCAGTCTTGGCATTTCCAACAAGACGGTTACCTTCACTAAAATTCTTTGTAATTGGCCTCAGTTCCTCATTGCTGAAGGCTTTCCCTGATGGGGTAACTGATGCAGATGTTGGTGGACTAGATGCTTTGCGAGACCTTCTGCGCCTCTTGCTCCCACTAACAGTTGCAAGGATGATAAGATACTCCTTGTGGCGGCACAGGTGGTAGCATTTGTTCTCTATATCAAGCATACAGATGAACTCATGAGAGTTGTTGCATCTCTCACCCACAAGGGTTGGCTGGCCATTAGTCACCGATGTACAGGTATTGATTAGATTAATGCCTTTGCATGATGAATTGGAGCAATTGGAGTGAAATGGTGCCCCAGGGGAGATGGACTCATTCCAATGTGTTGCATTGTCAGACCATTTCCAACTAAAACCACCTGTAGAATTGAAGCCTCTTCCTCCAACCCAGCAGCCTCTTGTTGTATTAGTGCAGAGTTTTCCAGCAAAACTTAGTTCCTTGGCTGATGCCAGTGTTGCCAAGGTGCCCATTATAATCCCTACATCGGGACTCTGATTCATTCCAATAACTGGAGTTTTCTATCAGCCCAAAACACTTGCTCTTATTTGGACTGATTACCAGCAGGACTCGTAAGGGAGCGGAGAGAACCTCGAATTGGCGACGATATTCCTTAACAGTAGAAGACTGATGTAACGAGAAGAGCTGCTCCTGTAAATTACCCTCCTGAGTCGATCGAAAACGTTCAAGGAGGAGCTCTTTGAATTCTGTCCAACCACGAAAAGGTCGCCGACCATCTTCCTAGTAATACCACGCCAATGCATCGCCTTCTAAATAGACAACTGCAGCTCGCAGACGCTCTGTCGGAAGCAAGCCATTAATCTCAAAATAGCGCTCCGCGCAAAAAAGCCAGTCGTCAGGATTTTCCCCATCAAAGATAGGTAACTCCAACTTCCTGGGAAGTGAATCAGGAGTATGTTCCGGCACCGGCATCGAAGAAGGCGTCGGAAATGCCGCACTCTTCCCTTTGTCAGCAGCACGGCTCGATGCAATTAATGGAGGAGCAATGTCAGTAGAAGACAAAGGAGCATAAGAGACATGTTGATGAAGCAACAGATCAAAACGTCTCACCAAATCTTGAACGCCTCCCCCCAGAGATTGGACCGAGCTCTCTAGAGACGAGAGCTTCGAAAGTCCAACTGCTACCTTGTCCGGATCGAGACGCTGAAAATCGTTACATAAGCCATCCATCTCCAGACGCAAATCAGAATGCAGAGAAGACAAGCGTTCTTCGAATCCCTCCACCTGCGATGCCACTTCCTTAACTGTCACCATGGCCGAGGAAAGACGGGCTCTGATACCACTGATATGACCCAGAAATTTGACACACAGTTCACAGACTTACAGCAGCGTTCACACACTCGAACATCAACAAAGAAACTAGTATTCATTCAGCATAAAATATTAACAGTTGGTCGGTTCTTCGAGAGACCGCCGGCTCTCCCAAACACTCACAATATTCTTCACTCAAAGAAAAAACCTCTCACCCCCCATCCCCCAAAGCCCCTTCTTATACTCTTCTGATAGCATAACTGACTCCCTCTATAAATGCCCAGCTGGCCTAGTTATAAATGCCCAAAAACTCTTCTTATTCATAACTGACATAGCTATAAATGCCCCAAGACTCTTCCTATTCCCTTCTGACCTCCTCCATAAATGCCCCATGTCTAATCATCTCCCCCTTATGCTGCCTTTTCTTTCTCCTAGCATACGTAAGGTTAACTGGGGGCCTATCAAAACGGTGGTGGACATTTGACTGAACCATCCACATACCCCATCAATTGATGAAGTCGAAAAATAGGCATAAACTGTGCCTTCCAGAGATTGAAAGTGTTCCCATTTAATTTAATGGGAAGAAAATGAGCAATATTACCCATGTTTGAAGGATAGGAAGTGGTATAATTGACTGGAGCGGCAGCAACTGTACTTGTGGTAGTTGAGTTTCCTTTAACCATTGAAATCTGTGAATTAGGTCAATTCTCTGATACCAACTCAGAATTTATTGCAGTTCAACTCAAAAAGTTACTCATTAACTTGAACAAAGAACAGTTATACATGATGACAAATTAGTTACAGCAACCAGACAATAACCACTAACTGTAAAGTAACTATTATCTAGACAATAACTAAATGCTGAGGTGGAAAACTGAAAAACATTAAATGCCTTGTTTGTCATCTGTCTATTACCATGAAATCTTTAAGGATACTTTTCTTACAGTTAATTCTTTAAGGACACTTTCTTTGTGACATTTTGCTTTTCTCTTTGCTTATTCAGCATAGATGAACAGCCAATATACACAAAGAATGTCATTTTCCTGGTAATGACAAAGATAATCTTTTAGACCTTTTTCTATAGACTTATAATGTTTAAATTCAACAAAAATATCATTTTCCCTCTTTTAATAGATTAATTATACTTTTCTATACCCGTGTCCTACTCTTTGTTTCTTGTTGCGCCAATTCGGACTCCTGAACACGCGTCAGGTTCTAGCTCCCGTGTATGTGTTCATGTAATTCTCATTCAACTACAGTATTGAAAATAAGGGTGGCGGAGTTTTAGGTCCATGATTTGAGTGTGGGCATTGTAGTCAACTATGTTAATGTCAATCAACTATCAACTACGAAATTATGTTGGTTGCTAATTTTAGGGAAGGAAAATATGCGGTGAATGCGATTTGTCAATTTGCTTGATTTCACAGTAATGAACTATTCTGGTTTCACTGCATATTGGAGGTCTGGGTTCCTGGAACTAGCCCCATATTCTACTCTTCTTTGCTTAAGTCCAATTCGAACTTGTTAATTAGGCTGGCATCGTAGCATGCTCTTGGAATTTTACTGGCAGAAATCAAAAGACAAAAGAGAAGTCGTCCAAATTAGTGAAATACAAAAAGAACTGCAGTTAGGCATATGAAGTTATAAAATATGCTTACGACATCGTCGAGCTCGACCCCAAAATCAAAGCATAGTTCTTCGAACTCCTCTTGGGCTGAAATTTGAGAAAATGAGAACGACAAAATGGGAGCAGTGAGTCGAATTCTAGTAACTAAAATTGAAGCACTGACAAGTAGTAACTCAAGAGCTTACTGTAAGTTCTTCCCAAAGCTTCGAAGAGGCGATCCCTTCCGACGCTAACTGTAGGCATGGCGACAAGTAGCAGACTCCCCAAGTATACTTTTGTGCCGCTCCCTGTAACCCGCCGTCGGCGCAAACCTAATATACCCAATAGGCGAATACGATGAGAGCGAAACGATTGAAAGGGAAAACTGCTGGTTCAGCTACTAGCTAGCCTATTAATGAGTAATAGCCTATTTACGCCAAATATGGCTTATGAGCTGTTCGTAGAAGCATGAAGTTGTTGTGTGAAAGGCTGAAAGCCCTTACACACAAGGTACATGAAATCGCTTCGGCCTTCGGGTAAGCCAAATATGGCTTATGGGCTGTTTCAGCTACTCAGAAGTCGCTTCGGGTAAACTACATGAATGATTTGACTAACGGTCCATTTGGGCTCTCCAAAATTTTCACCAAACACTGCTTTTATTACCAAAAAAAACATTGCTTTTGGGGTGGATTTTAGGTAGCCAAGCAGTGTGGGATATTGTAGGAATGGCAATGGGAGGCGGGTTCGGACGACTCCGGATCTCCTGCCCACGAGAACTCTATCCATGCCTACCCACAATACACTATCCCCCATGAATTGAGAATATCTACCCCTGTATAATACTATGTAGAGGATGAGATGTTCTCCATGTATGGCTGCGACTAACGTGGGCAGGAGATCCAAACTCGGTTCGGACGTGCATTCTCCATCCCAACCCAATTCTGAAACAAACCCCTTTTCCTAAACCCGATTCCTATTATGGATAAAAGTGATGTTTGGCATCTATGCCGTTTTATAAGAAAATGGCACCATGTAGGTGCCACTGAGAGAAGGCAGTGTTATAAACAATGCCCTCATGTTTGGTAATATTTTTTTAGGAAAAAATAAAACGTTGCTCTAAACCACGCTTTGGAGATAGGGAATGTGGTTTACAACAACACCAGATTCAATGTTTTCCGAGAAAACGGCACGTTATTGTTGGCGGTGCAATGATGTGGCATCATTTTGGATGTTGGGTAATATAGATCAACGTTGAAAATGTTGATGCCAACACTGGTACCAAACAAAACCAATGTTATTTTATCAAAAAATGCCCATGTGGCAATACCGATTCCAAGCAAAAAATAGGTGCTTACAACTCCATATGCCAATCATCGTTTTTATGAGAAAATGGTGCGATGTTCTCAACACTGATGCCAAACACCTACAAAAGTTATCACCATCCTCAATCCCCAGTTATGAATAGTTCCCCATGGGGGCCCAAATCTATGAACTTATTTTAATTAAAAGTATTTTTTAAAAAAATAGATTCACTCAAAATTTTTAAATATAAATAATATTTTGAGTACATTTTGAATTTTGGTATATATATATATAATATAAATAATATTATATGTAAGAATATATATTTGATATAAATAATATTCATTATGTATAATCAATGTTGGGGCGATGGGCTTCACTCCCCGTCCCTGCTCCCACCATAGCAATCTCCATCCTATCTTTATCAGGTTGGAGAGGATGGGGAAAATTGTCATTTCAAAATATATAGTTATTCACGCTCAAATCACTAGAAAATACAAGACTTGAGTTTGAGCTTGAGCCTGTGCTTTAATTTGACTCAACCCAAAAACTCATAGGCTCAAGCTCGACTCAGCTTGTGCTTAGAAGTGAGGCAACCTTCCTAAAAAAATCATATATGAGTTCAATTAGGCTTGCAAGCTTCACAAACTACACTTTATTGAGCTTGTGTTTGACTCAACTAACAAATGAGCTTGTATATTAGGCCTTGAGCTTAGATCGAAACTCAATTTAAATAAAGTCAAATTAAGCTTTTCACCATTCCAACTCGAATAGTTTGTGAATATCTATTCATGTCCACCCCTACATAGCTTATAGGCCGTTTTTGTGGAGTGCACCTTGGAAAGCCAAGAGCAATAGCACTTCAGTCATCCCAAAGAGATACCAAGGGCCCATTTTAGGAAGCTGAATTAAAGATTTACCTAAATTGGTTTCAAGTATATCTTCAAATGGTTGGTTAGCATACGGTTTGAGCTCTCCAAAATTTTCACCAAGTAGGGCTTATTCGAAGTGCTAGAAGCTAGTGCACTTCATCCCTTCCAAACGGGCACAGAATAAAGTTTCTACATGCAATGGTGATATTTGTGGTTTGTTCAACTAAGAATGGCTTTCAAGCATAGGCCATACATTGGCGTTGGTGTGTGGGCCTGAGTAGACTCATCCAAGGGTCAGGCTTGGGCTTAATTTTTGCCACAAATTTGAATCTATAAGTACTAATATTTTATCACATTTAAGGAAATTGTGATAACATGATGGAAGTGTAATTAACACCAATATGTGTAGTAGTCCACATTTAATTCATTACCTAAAAATATTAAATCAAATTACAAAAGGTAAGGGGATGAGATGTACATCTCAATAAATGATTTGTCAACATGACAAACCATATAAAGATTAGATCAAACTGCAAAAGGAATCAAAATATTCCAATTAATTAAATTGCTTTGAACTCAGATAGGATAAGGTAGGGGGGGGGGGGGAGATGGGACCAGCAACTCTGGTGAGCTTGTTGTTTTAAAGTTGGGAGTGAATACCCATGAGGGATTACAAAGGTTGAAAGGGGGTGGTGGGAGGAGATGACGGGGGAAGGACATGTCTCTAAAGGCAATACACTTGAGAGAGATTGTGATAATAAAGAAAAAGGGGAAGCAAGTGATGAAAAAAGTGGAATGAATCTATAAATACTAATATGGGACCAGTGGGATGATTGCGGGGCTCTTGGGTTTATTTCCTCTTTGGATGATGCTTTATCACCTTCCAAATGTATTATTTTTTTAAATGAATTTTATCTTATTAAAAAAATATATATATCTTAATGGCCCATTGGCAGAGATAAGACCAAATGTGCCAACCTGATAAGCATAATCTAATTTGGTAAAACTTTACCATGATAGAATTAAAATGACAATTTGAAATATAAAGGCACGCAAAAGCCATAGAAAATAAACAATATCATGTGACAATAAATGAATATTTTGGTTTGTTTTTTTGACTGTGATAGACATTGTTTAGAGAAAAGATGATAAGATTCTGTCATTCAGTTCTACGGGTATTAGTATAGGATCTATGAGATCAATGTTGGGCTTTTTGAATTCTTTATGAATTATCACCATCCTAATGTATTATTTTTCATAATAAATTTTATATTATTCTTCAACAAAAAAAAACATATCTTAATGGCCCCTTGGCAAATAAGGCGTCAAATGTGCCAATCTGGTAACCATCACCTGACTTTGTAAAAATTTACCAAGATGGAGTTAAAATGACAATTCTTAATATAAAGACGTCCGAAAGCCATTGCAAACAACCAATATCATTTGACATTAAAATAATACATTGGTTTGTGTTATCGGACTGTGATAAAGGTTGTTTGGACAAAATATTATAAGATTTTGCCATTCGGTTCTAAGGGTATTAGTATGGGACCAGTGGGATGATTGTGTGGCTCTTGGGTTTATTTCCTCTTTAGATGATGCTTTATCACCTTCCTAAGGTATTATCTTTTCAAATAAACTTTATCTTATTTAAAGAAAAAATATATCTTAATGGCCCATTGGCAGAGACGGAACCAAATGTGCCAACCTGATAAGCATCATCTAACTTGGGCCGAACTGGGTAACCCTAATTCAGCCCATATACCTAGATGATATTAATTGTTAATATT